CCCATGTGCACTGTGCTATAATTCCATGGAACTCTATAGGCATAACTCCTTGTATGGAGCTGCTGCTCACAGCTGGCAATTTTCAGCTTTGAAATTTGCACTTTGCATTTTCTTTCTTATATTATTAACAGGTGTGTATGTGTGGGAGATGGGAACATGCTTTTCTCCCCATAGAGAGTTTTCCAGATTGGAATCATTTCTGAGTTTTGGATAGACTTGAATAATTAAGCCAGCATTTCCCAACCTTGATGACTTCCAAGTATGTAGACTTCAACTCCCAGAATTCTCATCCATGGCCATGCTGGCTGTGGGATTCTGGGATTTAAAGTCCACACACCTGGAAATCTCCAAGGTTGGGAAACACTGAATTAAGTATTTACCTAGAAAGTAGTATGTTTTAGAACTGCTGCATATTGCAGAACAGAATGATTAGCATGATGCTAGTTGGTATGTTTCATATAGAGTGGTGACCTGAACATGGATCTACCCAGTCTTAAGGTAATGCTGTAGCCAGTAGGTTACATAGGCCAAAGCTACATGTTACACAGTCACTTAGAGTCAGGATGAAGCACTTCCTCCCTCTACTTGAGACGTAGGAGAGGGGCTAATTGTTCCTCCACTTCTGCTTTCGGACTGCAACAATACTGTTGAAACAGTAATGCTGTGACAGAGATTGTAACACAGAGAATGTGCAAGTAACAGACTAGTGCCCTATCTCTCTTCCAATGAAACAAATGGACCAAACTTTATAATCTTTCTCCAGCAGAGGGTGAGAAAAGCACACTTTCTGGAGTGGAGAGAAGGTGATGTCACATTTATTTGGAACATCCTTCTTTCTTTTCTTTTTTAGGTACCTTGCATCCTTGCCCAGTGATGATCCTGATGTCTGCTGGGACTCGGTCTCCCCCTTTGATCTCCACCAAGTCACCCACTACCAGCTGATTAGCATTGATTTGGAACTTGTCGCCATCTCGAATCACTGTGGCTTGCTGTGGTTAGGAAGAAGAGAGGAAACAAACTTGGATTTAGACTTCCAACATTCTTTTTCTTCCTGTTATCAGTTTGAGGGGAAGGGAAATTGCTTTAGAAATCCTTTTTAAGAAGAAGACAATTTTAGAGAAAAGCTCACAGGTAAAGGATGTTGTGGAATGCGCACTATGATCTATGTTTTAGACCAGTGTTTCTCAACCTTGGCAATATTAAGATATGTAGACTTCAGCTCCTAGAATCTTAGAGTCGCCATGGTTGAGAAACACTGTTTTAGACCTTCAGATGTTGCTAAACTCCAAAGCCCATGAACACCTCCTAGCATGGCCAATGGTGAAGGAAGGTGGGTGCTGAAGTGGAATTTTGGTGCTGGAAGAGCACATTTTGTTCATCCTTGCTTATTGGGTCAAACACAAAATGTTTAGCTGCAAACATGGGTAACTTTCTCATGAAGCTGCATGTTCGACCAGGCGAATGGCAGATTGGGGCAGAAACAATGGGGAAAAGAGGGATTTTAATTCTTACCTTGCCAGTCATTTCCGCACCCCAATTTGCTATTATTCCTTCCCCAGTTTATTTCCTTACAGTATAGATGGCTTTTTTTTTTTAATTGTTTGGGGGAAGTCAAGATACTTGTATGCTCAGATGAGTTGAGGATGTTTGAGCAGAAAAGCAGTCAATATGGAAAGGGTTAAGTGGACCTTCTCAGGCTTTTATATTCACAAGGTGGGGAGGATCCGTTTGTGCTTAGTGTTAAAAATTGGGCCCAACAGGCTTTTTTAAAAAAAAAAACCAAAAAAAACAGGCAGTCTAAGAATGCTATCTTCAGATGCATGGGGATACTAGAAGTAATTTCTTACCTGGGGCACGAGATTCTTGAAACTTGCAATAATGTTTGTGCTTTTAAATTCCTGATAGTAGCCGAAGCAGCCAGTCACAACCACTACAGCAATAAGAGCAATGGCCAAGTACAGCTAAAAAGAAGGGGAAAAAAGCTGATATTTCCGTGTTGTTGCAGCTGCACTACTTCAATAAATCTTGGCAAACATCACATTTATTGCACAGCCACTCCTCGTTTAACAACCATTTGCAAATACAATGGTAATATTCATTTCCAACCGCAGTGGGTATTTACAACATTTCTTGGCCTGACAACAAAAGCCCTCAGTGTGAAACTGATTAAAGTCTGGTCAGGTTCGGGCAGCAGCTGTGAGCAGGGGAGAGGGTTCTTATCAACTAATTCAGGTCACAGAGCTGAGCTTGTTAACTTACAGTTAGTACTTTTTAGAGAAGCCCTGTGCTCCCCAGAAAAGCAGTTCAGGAAGAAATGGCTTGTTTAAACCATCTCTTCGCCCTAGGAGGGGGCAAAAAAAAAGAAAAAAAAAAAGGAAAAAATGGGCCAGGCATAGAACACTGTACAGGAGAACTTTATCTGAATGAGATGGCAGCAACCAGCAATCTCTGCAGAGTCTCAATCTCTCTCTCTCTCTCTCTCAGTCACATGTTCACTTGGCAACATTTCGCTTAACGGCCAAGTAGTAGCTGGAACAGATTGCAGTCACTAAACGAGGAAAGGGTATACTAGAAAATAGCCCTAAGTCTATAAGGTTTAGGCTGCAAAATTTAGATAGCCATAAGATGGCAGCAAACAGATCTTTGGAACCACCTAAGCATCATCTGAATTTTTCCAGCCCAGATCTGGTAGCCATTCAGTAACCCTACCTTCCCCTGCTAAGTTTATCTGTTGCTAGTGATCCAGCATCCTTCAAGGTACATAATTAAATCATTAAAAAAAAAAAAAAAAAACCCCTCCCCCCAAACCTAGGGTAGAAACAGAAAATTCTGGCCCTGCCCCCCTGAGGTTTAGCTCCCCCCACCTGGCATCATCATTCCATCTCCCATTGCGGTTCTCCTCCCCGTGACCACCCAATGCTCGTCTGCTTCTGCTGTGGGCACTTACGTCGTCTGCACTCGTAAGGTCCCCCTGGCCGCACTGGATGCCAAAGGCGATGAGGCAGATGGCAGCTGCCACCCACATGAGGCACTGCAGCCCCCCGGCCAGCTGACGTGCAAACTTCACGTACTCCGGAGTGCCTTTGGGGGGCTTCAACTCATTGGGGCCATCACGAAGGAGGATCTCTCCGGCCACCGTGCTGGTCAGGCCCTGGAAGGAGATAGACGAGTAGGCCGAGAGGTGAGGGGGAAAAATCACCTCACGTTCTCAGAGCGCAGGAATGGATTGTGCAAATACTAGAACTCGCCAGGAGGCCAAAGCTGACCTGTTCGGTCAGAGGAAAAACAATGAACACTTTTCTGAAAGACTAGAAACCTTATATGGACTTTTTGCTGAGAGAAGAAAAGAAGTGATATGATGATTTATGGGTCTGAGGAATGAAAAAGACGTGGATTAAGTGAGGGGTTGTAGGGATTTGTATAATGTCGAAGAGTGGGGGAGGATTTTAAGAATGTAATTATCTGTTGAAGAGAAGATCAGAAGTCATATTTCATAGCTTTAGTTTCTTTTCTTTCTTTTTTTTGCCCCTTCTTCTTTTCTTTGCTATTTTTTCTTTAGATTTGACTGTATGTAAAATTTTCAATAAATATAAAGGAAGAAAGAAAAGGAAAAAAGCACCAAGCCCTTTTCCGGCAGGGCCGACCCAACCGTTTGGCAGAGCAAAAGCCTCAGGCAGCAGATACTAGGAGGTGCTGAGGCGGTGTGGCTGGACAAGCAGATGTAATGACCTGAAGCGTGATAGAAGAATCTGTCTAATCACAAGTGTAGATAGAAGCAAACAATGACTGTTAGCCTAGCTGGCTTTTTTTGCAATGCATATCAGGAAGCCCATAACTTTCCGGTCACAGGCAGCCTCTGAACTCCATTTTTGGATCCTCCAGGGCCCACTGGCCAAAGGTCAGTGGCAGGCTGCTGAAATAGAAAGGCATGATTTCCTGTTGAAAAACACATTCAAATAGAAGAGAATCTCTGTAGCTCAGGTTGAACTGTTCTCTGAACTTGGTTGGGTTGCTGGCAGACGTTTCGTTACTCAACTAGGTAACATTTTCAGTGCTAGCTCAGAAAACCCCATGGACGCTACAAACACATTCAGATCAACATGTCAGCCGCTGGAAAGCCTAACACACTTAACCTCCCCAATGTGATCTTACTACCCCCACTAAATATACTCCACTCCACCAGAAATCCAAGCTCCTGTTGCTGGTATGATGTCATGCCTTGCCTAGTGTACCATTCAGCCACTTCAAGAAATAATCTAGAGATCCAGGATGGTGTTGTGGTTAAGGTGTTGGACTAGGAGCAGGAAGACCCAGGTTCAAATCCTTCCTCACCCCTGGAAGCTTTTCTACACTGCCTTGAGCAGGGAGACCTGGATTCTAGTCACCCCTTAGCCATGGAAGCTCCTGGGGTGACTTTGCCTCTCTTTCAGCCCAACTCCCTCACAGGGTTGTCGTGAGGAAAATAGGAGAAAAGAGAGGGTTCCATACATGTAAATCTCTGTAAATAGTAATGCCTCTGACTCCTACAGATTTGCCTACCACTGGCGCAGTGAGAGTGGCTATCAATTTAGACCAGCTTTATTCCTTGTGCACCATTTCCTTTCTACGCTAGATGGCGACCGTGTTTTCAAGGTTGCAGAAGGGGTTATGATAAACTCTGAAAATATGTGTTTCTCTCGTCAGATAACATTTTTTTTGGTCAAACGGCTACCTTGGTGATGTTGGTCCGATATTTCATCTCCAACTCTTCTATGGACAGCTGGTGATCATCCTAAAAGGGAGGAGAGACCCAAGATGAGACAATGATTTCAGTGGACGGAGGGCTGTTCTCTTTCGAGCAGTGTTTCTCAACCTTAGCAGCTTTAAGGTGAGTGGACTTCAATGCTGGCTGGGGAATTTTGGGAGTTGAAGTCCACTCATCTTAAAGTTGCCAGCGTTGAGAAACACTGCTTTGGAGTATGGCTCCTCATTGTGCAATTTTTTGTTCTGTTGTTTTGCGTAAGCCAAGGAAACAAACATAGGTTAACCAGGTCAATAAAGACTTAACAGATGCATTCACCACAACTTGCTGATCTTGCTGAATGTTAACCTTGGCTAGGGTTAAGGTTGTTTGGCTTTTTCTTTGTGGCTTAGCATGTTATGTAAACTTATCCCAGTTGGTTCATTCAGTACTGTGCAAACCTGAGAAAGAGGTCAATTAGGTGACTAGGTTACAGTGTGTTGTCTGCGTGCAACCACTGGGTACTACAGACATGCCTAATAGAGTGGTTTGATAGAATTGCTTGGAATTACTCAGGAATGCATGTCTTCTCTGCTGGACTGTGTTCAAAGAAAAAAAATTGTGCTGCTCGTGGTTGGTGTGGCACAGTACAGATTGGCCAGCATTTATATCATGAGGAAGGGACACCACGTTCTTTGGATCTGTTGTTTTTGAAATATCAACCAGGATTCCCCCCACCCCCCAAGAAAATAGTCAACAAATGTTTCTTCAGATAAATGAGATGAACTCACAAAATAAAGCAGAGAATGATCTAAAGATTCCAGGTAAGTGGGAATTGATTCTGGATGCCAAGAGATTACATTCCAGACATAGAATGTAACAGGAATGAAGGCAGAGAGAAACAAAGAATATATTGCAGCTGGAAAAAATAGCAACAATTCTGTTTGTATACGTAGTCCTGCGCAGCCAATATTAAACAGTAATAGAATTTAATTTATTACAATGTCTCAGAAAATCCAGGACGTACAGTATCAAATAGAATTTGCCGCACAAATGTTTGCATACCAAAATGTTTAGGAAACAAAATAATTTACTTCAAATGCCCCTGAAATGAGGCAATCTCTGCCCTTCAATCCAAAAGGGGTTTGAGGAGAGGTTCAGCTATAAATTATGAAATGGATTAGGCCAAATCACTGATATCTGATGGAATTAACATTGCTTTTGTTCATGTAAACCAGACTGTGAAACTATTAATGATCATTTGCTGAAATTTGCTGGAGAAATGTGCTTTTAGAGAATGCAGTTGTCTCCAACAAGTTAGTGAGAAAAAAACAACATTCCTTTCTGGAGGTTCAGGGAGAAAGTTACATTTTGCTTTGGAGAAGAGTTTCTTCCCTTGAAACCAATGCAATTTCATGAAATGTACCCTGTAGTTTCAAAGGGTTTGCAAACTAAGAAACAAAAGAGTGTTGCAATTGTTCTTATTTGTGATTTTCCTTAATCTTGTGTGCCTAATTCTGTACACAGCTCTCCTGAATAGAGCTCTGAATGCACATTTCCCTAAATGTCTCCTTGGTTATTGATTATTATTTTTGTTTTTATGTGTACTTTCAGATTCCACTTTTTCGGAAAGCGTTTATGAAGGGTTGCGTAGATAAGGTGCCCCTGGTTCGATCAGTTACAGCCCGGTGAGTCTTATTGGCCATAGAAGAGGAAGGATAATACCATAATGCCGAACTTGGGTTCACAGATTAGGAATACGTTTTATTGATTAAGAACTTATTTCTCTTCAGACGAATACTCATGTTCATAGCTGTAGCTTTTAAATCGATAAAGCCAGGGTGCATTGTGGCCATAAATGGCTGTCTTGTTGAGTATCAACAAGCATCAACTTTCAGCAAAAAGAATTAACTTTAGCCTGGTCTGATGGGAGAGGCCAGCCTATGGGGCTAGTGTTATGTTTCAGTTTGATAGGCAAACTGGGTTAACAATGGGTTAACTGAACAATCCACTGTTAAATTAATCATGGGCAAGCTGCATAGCTCAACTGCGGAAATGACAATGTCTAAATCAGTGGAGAAATCTCTTTTTCCGATCCTGTCCTGCGGCTCACCACATCCATCTCTTTCTTCATATTCTCCAGCTTCTCTTTTTTCTTCATCGCTTTGTTTTTCTTCTTGATCTTCACATCCATTTCCCCACCAGAGTGTTTCTCCATCTCCACTGAATACATCTCGTACTTCTCCTGGCAGGGCAAAAAGCAAAAGCCAGAAAGATGTTTTTAAGCTCAAATAGCATCATTAATTATTCATTAATTATCAATTAACTATTAATAACAAGTATCAATCATGATTAATTATTAATAAAATTATTAATTATTAATAATTATTAATAATTACATTATTACAAATATTACAAATACATTACAAATTACATACATACATTACAAGTTCATTAATTATTATTAATTAAAGCACTACTATATTCTTTTGAGGGTTTCAAGGCCCATCTTTGGCAAGCAGAACAGATTTTAGGTGCTGGGAGTAAAATTAAACCAAGCTGTTAGCAATGGCATTGCAAATGGATTGTTTCAAAGGCTATTTTCCTTAGTGGAAAGTTAAGATTCCTACTGGTTTATTTTTCCTTTGGAGGTGGCTGAAGGAGAGTGGTGTCCACAGTTGGGGGGGGTGTCAAAAAAGTCAAGTTAGCAGCCTCAATTGTTGGTTGCAACTGCCATCTTAACTATTTTGACCCCCTCACAGGTCTGGGGACTGCCTTAGAACCCAGGTTTTTGGCAAGTTTGCTTAAACAAAATTCTCTTAATCAAAGATAATCAACAATCTGATGTCTACTCAGATGTTCACTTGATCTACCTTTGAGCATAAAAGGAACGTAATTAATTGAAAGTTGAGGCTGTCACCTCTACCAAGAAATCTGAGTTGATTACATTAAAGTACACTTGCTCAGTAACTGTGCACAGTGGTGCTCTAGAATAAGACTAATAATTAAAGAGGAATTTTACAAAGGGTTCCTTCACCCTGCAGTTTCATTTCACTAGTAGCAGATCCAAACTTGAGGGCCCCACAGGTCATCCACCACAGTGGAGAATAGGTTTACTATTTTTCTTGTTCCACATTTTTTCAGCAGAAGTGAAACTGAACAGCATGAAATTTTTGGTGTTTTCCTGTTGGTCAGATGGAAGGTGGAGGCAGTTGGCTAAGGATGATTAAGCAGGTTCCCTGAATTTTGAGGCTTTCTGGTATCAAGATGATCACATGACTGATATCAACACAGTTCTGATGAGGGAGTCGAGCCAGTTCCATATGGAAGTGTTATTTCTGTTTTGAAGTGATTTATATTTCTGTCCTAGTAGACCTTTTCTGTTCCACTAGTGCACTGTTTAAAATTATTCATGTTAATTAAAACAATACTTTGCAATTTGATAACATACGCTTACTGTAAGCATAAGCAAAGCCTCTTTGCATTTACCCCACTGCGTCCCCTTAGATGTGATGGACTGGTACAGCTAGCTTGAGCCAGAGAAACTCCATTCTGTCCATCTTTTGCCCTTGACTGCTCCCCTTCGGGCCCCTTTACCCTACATTGCAAAAACTCCTGGAATGGTCATGTGGTTGCCGTTATCAAGAAACCTGTACCATCCTGACCCAGAACAGTCTTAGACTTGAGGCCAACTCCCCTCTTCTGTCATAAGATAAGTTGAGTTTTGCATTCTCGAGTCCACCTTATCAACCAAGGACAAAAGAGAAGGGGCTGTAACGTCTTAGCAAGAAGCCCGCCACTGACAAGGTTCTGCCCAACCAGTGGTGTGAATAATTTACTGTTTATTGCCTATTGCTTGCTAATGATCACATGCTTTTGTTTTCACAAATGTATAAAAAACATGCTAATTTGTGTATTGGGACTCTCGATTTGTGACTTGGGTCCTGAGAGTGCCTCTCTACCGCTGTACAGAACAAACAGGTTGGAATTTTCCGACTTGTGTGTGATATCGGCTCTTTCTACCAGTTGAACTGTCCCAGCATTTGGCTGGGCCAATCCGTCACTTGGCCAGCAGATGTTTCAGGATGAATTGCTCCCACATGAGACCTTGCGGGAGAAAACCCAACACTGGGAAATGCTGATACAAATCTCAAATGCAACTCTGTAATTCTGCCAGTGCCAGAGAAGGTAGTGGGGAGGAAATACGTCTACTTTTTTCTAAAAGCAGTTTCCTTATACTGAATCTTAATCTCCCTAACAAAATGATTCAAATCTTTGCCCAGGGCAACTCCCATCATAGAAAACCTATTCACACAAAGCTGATTAAAAAAAAACCTCATAACAGCCTTGAATTTCCTTTGTGATAGCCTGAAACTTGACAATAGCCATGACTGACAATACTGTAACCATAAACATTTCTTATATTACAAAGTTGATACCCAGCTAGTTTCTGGAGACCATGACGATTCCCCTGCCCTGATCTTCTGGGATTGCCCTTATCACTCCCACTGCCAAATAGATTGGAGATGACTGTGGAAAAGTTCATAAGTTTATTTTTTTTTCTGTTTCAGAAAAATGAATGTATGATTTATGGTTTTGATGATTAGATAGAATAGATTATAGAAAGAAGAGAGTTATGTTGTAACCATAGAGTACAAGGTAAATTTACAGGTAGTCCATGCTTAACTACCACAATAGGGACCAGAACATTGGTCATTAAGTGGGGCACTCATTAAGTGAGTCACCATGTGACCAGACCCAATTTTATGATCATTTTTATGATGGTCATTAAACAAATCACTGTGGTTGTTAAGCAAAACACATCATTAAGTGAATCACACGGTTGTTAAGCGAATCTAGCTTCCCCATGGACTTTTTTACCAGAATTTGCTTAATGGCCACATGATTCACTTAATGATTGTCATAAAAAAGGTCACAAATCGTGATCGTGTGACTACAGGGGGGTGGTGCGACAGTTTGCCATGGTTGTAAGTTCAAGTACAGGCCATAAAGCACTTTTTCTGAGGCTATCATAACGCTGAACCATCATTAAATGAATAGTCGTTAAGCAAGGACTACCTGTATAATTGTACTTATAACTGCTGTAAAAAAGATTGGAAGCTACTTCTTTGTATCTTTTTCTTTCTTTTCTATTTTTTTCTTACTTTTTTTCCTTTCTTGCACTTTTAGCTTTTTTAAAATTTCTTTCTTCTTCTTTTATTTTTCTCATTTTATATTCGTTTTCAATCTTCTTTTTAAAAAATCTTTAATAAAATTATATATATATAAAAATGAAAGATCA